CTAGCTTCGGCAGAGGCGAGCTGTCGCCGACCGAAAGAGTAAGAGGGTGCAGCGTCTTGCTCGGCTTGTTGGCCGAGCGAGCAAGTCGCACAAACCTGGGGTTCTGGCTGCCGGGTCGCGGGGCCATGAAGTCTTAGGGCCGACCCCTGGACAGGTCAAGTCTACGAGGGCTCAGGCCGCCACTTGCTCTGGGTCGTGGGCCACTGGGTCGTGCACCACCACTCCCTTTGGGTTATCTGGGGATACGAAGGATGACCCCCCGTTTAGGCTTCGCTATGAGCAACTCAATGGATGGGCTGTGGCTCGGGCTGAACTTGACAATCGAGCCCGCAGGTTGTGTGCTGACGTTTGGAATCAGATTCCCTCTAAGATGGATCACGCCAAGTACTGCTGGCAGATTGTCAAGGGGCCGATGTCGGCTACCATTACTGTACTTCGGGATCAGGGCTGGCAGGCGTTGTCACCAGTGTATTGGCGCACGGAGGAGCATGATGTGAGGTTGCATGACGGAGATGTCCCCTTTCAGCTTTGGGTTTCGCTCTTGAAAACCTGTTCTTCCTTGTCCTGGGACCAGGCCTCGAAGCACTTTTGCGGTGCTGGCCTTGCACGTGGTGTTGATTCCACTCCTGTGCGTAGGTTTCTGTCTTAGCTCGCACGTGATGGCGGGGATGAGTCTGCTGGGGCCCTGCGAAATGTTATTATCGCAGGATCGTGGCCTGAGGATCGATTGCGCACTGCTGGTTATGTCTCTGCTAGCAGAGGACTTTGCGGCAGGTGTGGAATCGCCCCTGAGATCCCGTTGCACCGATACTGGCAGCGTGAGCGTAGTCGTGGTATCCCTGATCACACTATCGAGATGACCGGCCCCCTTTCCCCCAGGGCCATTGCCGAAAGTGAGAAAGTGAGTTTCTGGTGTCGAGGTCTCCCGTCGTTGGGCGACTCCCTGGGCCTTCTCCCCCCACCCCAGCGTCTTGTGTGGGATTGGGGGAGATGCATCGGAGGGGAGCTTATACGGGGGGGTGTCTGGGGAATTGATGGGTCAGGAGGTAAGTCTTGACACTGGAGGCTCAGGAGAGGTGCCTGGCCGTTCGTGCATCTCGGACCAGACGGCAGGATCGATGCTACCAGGTGTGGGTCCCTACCGAGCGCGCGTCAGTCTTCGCCGAGAGCCGATTTGTTTGCGTTCATCGAGCTCGTGCGTGCTAGTATCGGAGATGTGCGAGTCAATGTGACTGTCTCCTCGTTGTGAAGGGTGTCAGAAGGAGCCTCAGAGCTAAACGTAAATCTAACATGCTCGACCTCTGGGCCGAATATCACCGCGTACTGTCTGAACGAGGGGTGTCGTTCCAACTGATCTGGACCAAGAGACACCCCACCCAAGCCCAGGCCGAGAGTACGTTTTTGTAGAATGTTGAGATGTATCTGAACAAAGCTGCTGATCAGTTCGCCGATTGGGCCGCTGAGAAAGCCCAGTTGGGCGAAGTTGACGTTTCTCATGTTTTGCGTGCCGATGGTTTAGCAGTGCAAGTTTTGAAAATAATTCTGAACATCCAGCGCGAGATGTTGCTTCCTCGGACCGAGAAAGGGGTGGCCGCCGCGAGCCGCAGCGAACTCGCGGGAGAGCCACCCCCCTGTCTGAGCGTATTTGCAGCTTGCGAGACGCAGGTCATGCCCCTGACGTCCTGAAGGCCTGCATCAAGTGCAGGCGGTGTGGTTTAGGCTACAGTCTCAGAGGATAGCTCTCGTACTTTTGGCCCATGTCTTGCAAGCCCAGGTGCATCATCCAGCAGCGCGTTCAGCTGCTGAGACCGCGGGAGGTGAGGGGTGACCTAGGTCCCGACCCTGTCCCCGATACCTTGGGGCCGTCGGATCTGTGCGGGGGCGCCCTGGACCATCCCCTCGCTGACCGCTGTCACCCCTCCCACCGACTGTCGGTCCTGAGGGGTGTCCTGTTTTGCACTGTTTGTGGAGGACACAGTTCTGTCGCACCTCCCCGCATCCTGAAAGGAGAGTGCGGTGAAGCCTCGAGGACGGGGCGAGAGGTGCTGTCACGCCTTCAGAGGGGATTGCCACCAAATTCTAGCACGTCGTTCCCCGACAGAGGCTGATTGTTGAATGAGCGGCCTGTCTAGAGCAGGACCCCGCCTTAGATAGAATTAGCCTTAGAATTACTCCTCCTCCTCCTCCTCCTCGTCCTGCTCCTCCTCCTCCTTTTCCTCCTTCTCCTCCTCCTCCTCCTGCGCCTCCTCCTCCCCTCCTGTTCCTCCTCCTCCTCATCATCATCATCTTCATCATCATCCTCATCCTCTTCCTCCTCATCCTCCTCATCCTCCTCGTCCCTAGTCCCGCCGCCCTGCTTCCCTCATGACTCCACCCCGCCGCACCACCAGAAGTGTCGGTCGGTAAAGCGGTCTGGACGTTTCGCCTGAGACTTCCCCGCTGGCCATGACCCTCAAGCTTGCAAGCGAACATGCACGGACGAAAGGCAGGCCTTGTTCACCATGCGGTCTCCGCCTTGGCGCCGCACGCACTTGTCTCACACGGATGGGGCGCGTCGTGTTCAACATGTGGTTCTCGCTTCAGCGCAGCGCGCATTGTATGTAAAAGCGTCCAAAAGTTGCGCGCATGGGGCGCAACTTGTTCTCACACGCAGCTTATAGCGGCCACATGGGTGGAGGGCGATTGGTTATCAAAACGCTGATCTTGCAAAAGCGCAGCGCAAACTCCTGTTCAAAGCGTCCACGACGCCTCACTGATAGAGTGAGGCCCATCTTCGTGTGTGGTCGTAGCCCCTCGGCGCTACAGCCATGAGGCTCCAGCGTTCCAACAACTGCACGAGTGGAGGGCGGCACTTGTTCAGAGAATATGGCTATCACCAGATGCTTCCCCACAGGTTTATGATGATGAAGCATTAAAATTCCAACTGTTACGCAGATGGAGGGGCGGGCCCCTTTTCAACACAAGGCCCTCGCGTCAAGCTTCTTCCTTTGTGTGCTGTGAGCACGAAGCGTGCAGCTTGCAAGGGGTACGGGAATGGAGTGCAGCTCATTTCCAACTCGGAGTTCTACATCTAGACACATAGGATGCGGAAGATTGGACATGTAGGGCACAATTATCAAACTTTGAGCTTCCAGAGGTGCCTGGCACCTGCTGGCGAGCTGGCTTCTGATCTGGCGCGCCTCCTGCATCCTGGGACTTCGAATGAGTTGCGCCCACGGTCAGGACAGTGTGCTCTGCGCGTCGTGGCGGCGGCCCCTGCGACACGCGCGGGTCCGCAAGCCGACAGCGAGTCGCTGCGATCCAAGGGGCGGGGGGGCGGAGATCGTGCTCCTCCACTCTCCAAAAATATCAGACACGATTTACGTACACTCCAAAAAAACAACAATCACCAAAAATCGCAAAAACAAGTCGTTCCCATGCGATTGTTTGACAATGTTTGAATATTCCCCCTGTAGAGGGACAGGCCCGACTTAGGTGCACATCTTCGAGATCGTGCTCCTCCGCTCTCCAGGGGGGGAGCTGCTCGCGGCTCTGCCAACGAGGCCTGTGGGGCCCTCGCCCTCCCAGGAGGAGAGGAGGAGAAGGAGGAGGCGGAGGAGGAGGAGGAGGAGGGGAAGGAGGACGAAGAGGAGGAGGAGGAGGAGGAGGAGGAGGAGGAG